ATTCCCACTGGTGCAAGGAGCTCTCAGACGGGCTAAGCAAGTCTGCTGTGATGTCCTGGAGAAGGGAGCCTCTGTCCACAAGTATTTCAGTGGATCTGCAGGATGTGGTGAACTCCTATAATAGAGCGATGGCCGCAGCCGCCTCTGTTCTAAGCCAAAGTGCCTGGAGTCTGCAGTGGGCCCAGGAATCCACTGGCACCAAAGGACTGAAGGGTTCTTTTGCCTTTGTGAGTAGAATCTCCTGTATCTCCTGTCACTTCTGCTGCTTGGAAAAACAAACAAAAAAGCCCAAACCCAGGACTCGGAAATGAAAAAAACGAAATAAGTTTTTTGGTGCCATCATAGCTGTGCAGGAGCTGTTTGGGAACCTGATCACTTGGTACATTCCTACTTCTATTAAGCTGCTCTGTTACTCACACTGAGTGCTGGATTCTGCTCAGATGTCTATTCACTAATTAATTACCTACTTGTTGAGCAGGTTGTGGAGGAAATAGACTGCTGTTGGTCAGCCTGGTTGGTGTCTGGGTCTGAGGGATGTATTTACTTTACCTTGTCATTATGTAGTCATCATGTGGTACATTCAGATGGGACTCCATTAAAAGGCTTAAAAGTATCTGTAATGATGACCAAAGATTGGCAACAAATCCCCAATGTATATGTCATTGGATTCCTTGCCTTGGGCGTAATTCAGTCTGGCGTGATTGTCTGACTAAGAAAGTCATGCAGACTTATGAGACAGAAGGGATGGGAAGGGTCATAACCATTCACCTGCCTGGGGCAGGACCAGGTGGAGTGTTCATGGTTAAGGTTTGTCAGGTGGTTTGTGGAGACCTGTCTGCTCCAGGAGCCTGGGACTCGTGTTTCAGTGTGTTACAGTGCTCTGTGCATTCACCAGTTGAATCTGTCTGAGGGATGCAGGGATCAGAATTATTGTTAGACTCCTACTTTTAGCCTCGTGAGAATCAGCAGACAGGCAGATGAACAACCAAAGAGGTGCTCCTGGGAGGGGAAGTTGTGTAGTGGCAGTTTGAGCCCAGATCCACTGTGGACTAAGGCTGGGTTTGGTAACTGCTCAGCACAGCTGTACATGTGAACCAGGTGCTGCTGCTGGGTGGGCTTTGGTGTTTCCAGCTGTGTGACACAACTGGGAGCACTGCAAACAGTGAAGGAAGGAGCCAAGTCCATAAAAATGTGAAGTTTGCCTGTTTTGTTGCTCCCTGAAACGTTTTAAGTTCCACAATGTGAATTGAAATTGAATACTGTGGAGCTAAACATGATTGGAGACAGACTTTTGTCTGGTAGGAAACTGGTGATGTGTAATGAATGTTGTATCTGGAGGTTTTCCATGTGAATGGCTCCTGCTTGTTCCCGGGTTTTGACTCATTTCTAGAGTACGTTTTTCCTGCCCCAAACCTCTTTTAACCTAGAGATTTGTATTTCTGTTTTTCAGTGATTATCAGTAATGATTAAAGAGAGGAGCAAGTGTTAGCATGAGATGGATACTCAAACTCTAGTTCTCTTCTATTTCTGAGAGTGCATTTCCTTTTGCTTATCTGTAGTTTGGCCAAACTCAACTTATAAGAAATAGGAGTGTTTCTGTGCCTGAAACAAAGACCTTTCTCATTCTGCTTTCTGTGTCAACTGAAGGCTGAAAATCGTCACGTTCTGGTGGGAGAGCAGTTCATGTTCTAGCTGTTATCTGAAGACATGAGTGTTCTTTTTGTACTCTTAGTTGACTAGGTAGTATTTCCAGTTCCTGAAGTGTTAATTATTCTGTGGAGAGATTTTTTTTTTACTGGATTATTTTTATTTTTCCTGTTTCTGTCAGTGCAGTTGCTGGACCTGGAGACTCTGGTTGCATTTTACCAGATGCAGGCAGATCCATCAGCAAGCACTGTCATACTTGGAGAATTTACCTTCTTCCCCCTGACCTTGGCACTATTGCTGCTAGAAGGAAAGATTCAGTAAATAGGCTACAGTTAATTTATACTTTTTTTGGACTCTCTTGTGAACGATTGTGCTAATGATAATGGATTCAATGAGCTTTTGTAACACAGACCAGTGTGAGCAGTTCTGTTTATGAGACAGACACCGGAACGGTCCTATTCCTTAGTTTCTGTCTGTACTTTCTCCCCAAATCTGGATGGATTACAGCTAGTTTCACACCAGCCACTGTGTGTTTTTTCTCACAGGATACTTTCACACCATATTTAAAGTAAGATTTGAGTGTTGTGCGATATTGACTCCTTCCCTGAGCCCTGCAGAAGATCCCTGCAAAAGGTCCCGTACCTTGCTCTGCACTGGGCATTTCACAGACAGTTCTCTTCAGAGCAAAAACTGTAAGGCAAATAACTAGTGGGAAAAGTTTCCTGAGCCCTTTGAACTGGGCAGTGCAGTTGCCATGGTTGAGATGTAGGACGATTTCTTGATGTTTACAAAGTTCTGTGGTGAGGGAGGTTACAGGGAGATCAGAGTGAGAAGATGTGAGAGGCTCTCAGCGGTGCAGAGGGGACCCTGGGTGGGATGGTGATTCCTCCCTCTGGCTGTCTGTGGCACTCTCGCTGCAGGAACAGCTCTGCTCCCTGCACAGCAGCTGCTGAGCTGGCTCACACTGCAGCCAGCTCATTTCTGAACACAGGCACACATTTCAGGGGGCCATAAAATGCCCTTTCAGTGGATCACTGCTGGTTCAGGAACAGCTGGAATGAACTGCAACTTCTCTAGTGCTGGTTACTCACGGTTTGGTCTCTTCATCTCACGAGTCACTCAGAGGAGTACACAGATTTGTCTTGGGTGGGTGAGTTGTAAGGGTTGTTTCCTTGCTTCATTTCCCTGAGTAGGAAGTCACAGGTGGCACACTTAAGCTGTTAACATGGTGACAAAAGCTGTGCTGAACTCGAGCAAATGATATGTCCAGTTTAATGATGTGATACTCAAGAGTCTCTCAAGTCAAGAGACTCTAAGGGTGGGTGTGAGGCAGAGGTAGTTGGCACGAAGGTATCACTAAGGCTGTGGTGTGCTGCTGCTGTTCCCACTTAACTTTGAAGGAATCTCATCACATTCCCACAGCAACTTTTTGAAGCGTGTGTGGATTTTAATTAAAATTTTGCTTTCCCCAAATACTTACTTTGTTAACCAAACATCTTGGAGCATGGTTTGTTTCAGCTGACAGCACTTAATCCCGATTCATTTGCACTGTTCAGCGTTTCACTGGTGGACAATCAAAGGTACCATTGAGGGCACCTCAGGGTTTGGCTGCAGCCGAACATCAAAGGGCCAGCGTTTCCCCAGCACGTGCAAGGGCTGGGTTACTGGGAGGTCACTGCTGGCTCGGCCTTTGAAGTGTGATATCATCCATGGCCTCTGCAGGAGACACAAACATGTTGTGGATATTTTTAACCCTGTGTTATTAACTGTATTTCATGTAGGTAAAGCTGGCCATGTCAGCACAGATGGGGAAGTTGGGGTTTAAGACCTGACCATGCTCTTTGCTTTTCATACGTGTCAGGCTTGCCTGGCTGTGTGTCCTGTCTGTCACTGTTGCTTTCTCGTGTTATAGCTTGAGACTCTGCAGTAAGATTATCTGAGAAGAAACTGGTAAGAGGGGTGTGCTCAAATTTGTCTCTGAATTCAGTTTTACCGGTCCATTGGCTGTCAGGGATTTCACCTCTAAATCTCCTCCTACTTGACTGACTTCTCTTATCACAGAACTTGAACTTCAGAAAGCTGATGATCCTGCAGTGTAAACTTTGGGATTTATTGTTTTCCTTGGTACACGAAAGTGCATCTTGCTTGGGACAAAAAAGATGAGAGAGAGAATCCCGTCATCAAGCTGTGGCCTAAATTCTGTTTAAATTCCTTTGCCTGACAGTTCTTGGTTTGAGACTAAATTTTAAGGAATTAAAGAACTTAAGATTTGGACAAATACAATTTAGCTATCACAGAATGTTTGAGTTTGGAAGGAACTTCTGAAGGAACCTCTTGTCCAACCCCGTGCTTCAATGCAGGTGGGGTTGCCCAGGACCATGTGCAGGTGCCTTAAAGCATATAAATAATATATGAGTATAAGAATATAAACAATTAGTCCTCATCCTCTCAAGGTTTTTTAAAACTGCCTTTGAAATATATTTAAAAAGCTCCTGTGTCTTAAGAAGGTATTTTCAAGGTTGAAATTTTGCAGCTAGTTTAGAGCAGGGTTTCGTTTAAGTACATAGAACTTTCTAAAGCTGTAGCTGTGCATGCATGATGTTACAGTGTACCTTAGAAATCCACACAAGTCTCTTAGGAAATGTACTTCCCTTAAGATAATTCTGTTCCATATTTATTGTTACCATCAGCTCATCCCAAGTTCTGGGTAGTGTGTGTGTGTATTAGGGTTATACATTGTTATCTCACATACACACACATGGATCAGTGCAATTTGTGAATTCCCCTGGGTGGGGTATGGTCAGGAAACAAAAAGTGCCAGTTCTTGTGTTTGCTGGTTTGCTAATAACATGAAAAACACCTTCTCAGAGGAGAAATGTCAGTGGCTCTTACTTGATATAAAGAATCTGTCCTTGTGCACGTAGAGGTAACACGTTGTTTCTGAAGGTACAGGAGACGTGGCTCCCTGTGAACTTGTGTATGTGGGGAGATGTATTTTTCAACTTTTTTTTGCCCCTATTTTTCCACTCAGCAGTTTTTCCTGGTTCTTCCTTCTGGAAGCAAGCATGAGCTGTCACTGAGCATGGCTTGTCTGCCTCCATGTGAGAAGCCCCACAGAAAACACCTCAGTCAAACACAGGCTAAATGAAGGCAGAATGTGAAATCAGTGTCTGCTTGTGTTGTTACTGTTTTGATACTCACTGCTGACACCAGATTTACTCTGTAATGCCTGGTAGCTTGTTTAATATTTTGGATTAAACAAACATCTCTGTTACCTTTTCACATATTTCTTGCATGAAACATCATTTGTATTGTTGTGACATCCGTTAAATTAAACTTCTGTTTTTATTTAGGTGTATGAGTTGGATGGCATCCCCTTGATTCTGGACAACTGCAGCATTGATGACAACAATCCCTGTATCCTTTACAAAAGAGTTCTGTTTTTGAGTGTGACTCACGAGGAGAGGTGTGGGGTTTCACAGATGGGTGCCAGCACTGCTTTCACTGGGTGCCCAAGTGTGACTGGCCTCAGGACTTTCTAGGTTGTGTTTAAATGGTTCAGAAGTGAGCAAAGGCACAAATAGGCTTTCATGAGCTGGATTCTAAGTAAGTTGAATTGTGGTTATATTCTGTTTCCTAAAATAATAAATATTGCTGGTTTGCAAATGTCAGCTCAGAGAGCCAGCTGTGACAGGAATCTGAATCCAGACTCTGGCTGTTGTGTCAGATCTTGGAACCTTTGCTTCCATTGAAGCATCTGTTCAGGAGACTGAAACAGTACCCCATCAGTTCTCTGCACTTAATAAATGGGGTTGGGGAGGTTATTCTAAGCACAGAGTCAAGGCTAACAAGCTGTTGTAAGAATGTGTATAATTGAGAAAATCAATGGTGCTAATTACTGAAACGTTGGGGAGATTTTAATATACATGGTATTGTGCTTCATATTATCTTTTTCCTCGGGTTTAAGAGTAGAGACTTTCCAAGACAGATTGCTGTTAGAGAGAAATAGCTTTATATTGAAGAGAAGCAGTTGTTAAGCAGAGTTTCCCATCTCTTCAAGCACCACACAGTCATCCTGCCAAGTGTGTTCAGTCAGGGATTTTCTGCCATCTGACCATTAGCTCTGTGTGAGTTTCTGGTAAGTGTGTCTGGAAAGCAAATGCATTTCCTGTGTAGATTCATGTTGCCTTTCTTATACTGAACACATGAAACGAGCTTTCAAAATTAATTGATAAGGAAAAGGTCACTTCCTAACAAGTATCAAAAAAACCCACACAAAAATTAAGTTGTGAAAATGGTACATATTCTCTCAGTTGTGTGCTGTGGAACATCATCTACATATAAATATGTCTTGAAATAATGTAGATGACAGCATAAGCTGAGTGGAGGAGCAAGGAGTGTTAAGTATCCTCTGAGTTACTCACTTTATTGCTTTATGTGCACAAGTTTTACATTCCTCACTGTTTCTGCACCTGGAGACCTGGCAGTGTGGCTCTGGACAGGGCACTGAGGAGCAGAGTTGTACTTCTGTGGGGCCATTCAGGGAAGGGGCACTGCTGGATGAGGTGGGAAGGGCAGGGAAAGTTCCCTTTCCCTGAGCAGAAAAGCAGCCCTGAGAAAACCTGGTAGGGAGCTTTGGTCCCAAGTGACTTCTTTGCTGGAAAGCACAGCTGTGCAACTACCTCTAGAATGTCTTTCTAGGATTAATCCTTCATTTTAGCTGTTAGTAAAAGAGGATAAAGTTGGAGGCCTTCAAAGGCTGGAGTTCTAATTTACAATCTTGAATGAAATGAAAATAAAATACCCTGGGAGTCTTTACTGCATTTTGAGCAATGTGGGACTTCTTACACCTTTTGATACAGGCTGACATTTTATGGCTGCACCATAAACTTCTTACCAGAGGATAAAATTTTGTTTACTTGGTTTTTAAAGACATCATAACTGTGTGAGCTTTCACCACTGATCCATGGCACAGAGTGCAGGGGGATACAGGCGAGTGAGCAGCATGTGGGCAGAGGGGCCGGGTTGGCCGTGCAGCTCCTGGCTGCTGCTCTGACCTCGTGCTGTTCCAGGTGCTCTTGTGCTACATGAAGTTAGTGATCCCCTGCCTCTGACATTCCTCATCTGCTGCCTTCCCAGCAGAACTTACACAGGGAAGCAGAGGAGGAGTTGGCAGTTTAGCTGTTTCTACTTTCATCTGCTTTGCAGCATATTCTGCTGCCTGTGGACACCACAAACCAGGTCCTCAGCAGCACGTGGGGCCTGACTCCACTGCATAACAATTGCATCATCTCTGAAGAGATTCAACTGTTTCTTTGCTCTCTTTGTGCACCCCAGTCCTGCCTGGCACAAATCCCAGAATCCCAGGATGGGTCAGGCTGGAAGGGACCACAGTGGCTCATCTGGTCCCACCTCCCTGCTCCAGCAGGGCCAGCCCAGAGCACATGGCACAGGATTGTGTCCAGAGGGGTCTGGAATATCCCCAGGGAGGAGACTCCACACCCCTTCTGGTCTCTGTTGAGGGCTGGGTCACTGCCCAGCAAAGAAGTTCTTCCTCGTGCCCAGGTGGAACTTCCTGGGCATCAGTTCCTGCCCATTCCTGCTGTGCCATTGCTGCCCACCCCTCCCAAGCAGAGCCTGCTCCATCCTCTGCCCCCTCCCTGCCTCCAAATTACATGTACAAAATTTTCTGAAGAAAAAAATGTAACTTTAATGGTAAAAGCGATAGGATTTTCTTCCTGGATGAAAAAAATAATTTCCCTAAAGTATGCAATTCATCAGGAGAAGCTGGACTGCCATTTTATATGTTAAAGAGCTCTTTATTACTTTTGAGAGGAAAAATTCTTTGATGAGTCTTATTGTTTGTAGCATATGGAAGAATGCTGCAAGAGGAAATGGGTCTGCTCTCATCTTAAAATAAATTCCTTTGTAAACCTGTCATTACCTTAAAATTGCGTGCTGTGAGATCCTGAACAGTTCTGTAGCATCCATAGAACTACCAGGGAGTTTGTAGCTTACAAAGTTCAACTGACATGTTTGCATTGCTCTAATTAATTGTTTAAATTCATCTTTCAGTGCCCAGTGTGGGAGAACTGTTACCTTGTCTAATTACACCTCAGACTTGTAACCTTTACATTTATACGAACAAGGAGTATTTTTTCCTTCAGGATATTTGATGAGTACAGGCCAACAAAGCACCACCCTCATTGGTAGCAGACACCAACATGATTATGGACAGTTAAGAACAAATTTGCTGTACCTCTGTAATTATTCAAATTGGTATTTTAAATTTGCAGCTACTACAACTTTGCATGTTTCCAAGTAAATTCAATGGAGAAGTGCTGAAAGATGCCAGATTTTCAACTGTGAGCTGCTGGGCTTTTAGCACAGGGGAAAAGGTAAGCAGAGTGAGACTAGAGTTCATTGAAGACCTCAGAGCCTGAGGAGTTAAACTTCAGAGGAGGCTGAATATCACTTTTTCTATACCCTTTAAATCTTCTGTCTGGGACTGGCTGCACCCTAATCATAACTGTCCCTCTGTATTTAATAGCAGTCAGGCTATTTCAAAATGCAAGTGGAATAATTTGCCTTTAGATTAAGGAGAGGTCCTTTCATGAGCTATTTATTTTAGTTCTGAAAATTCAGTTTCTTGTTCTGCTTCTGAAAAGTTGGAAACCTTTTGCTTTACCTTTGTAACCTGTGTTTAAGAACAAAGAAATTAGGCATGCCACAGGGTAGCAGAGTGGGTTGGAGATGCCTATCTGGGTAATACCAATAAAAAATTTACTCCAAATCCTGCTTTTCAGGTTATTTGAAGAAAATATATGTTACTGTGAGGATATATGTTTATATATATGTCTGTGTGTGTGTATACACACATATATGTTATATATACAAGTAAACACCTAGCTAACTATGTTTTAGGAGTAAGAATTTTCAGCATTTGTGAAAGGAAAACCTGTGGTTGCTGTGAACATCCATTTACAGATCCCTTAGTTTAAATGATGTATGAAAATGTAGAAAATGTAAGATAATTTTTAGATACTCCTTCCCAAAACTGCTTCTATTATATTCAGTCTGAAAGTCATCTGAGAGGTAGATTGAAAATACTTCTGACTTGATGGCAGCAGCAAGTATAATTGTGGTTCATGAAACTGGCTGAAGCTGGAGGAAATCAAGTTGCTCTGGTCTACAACAATGGCAGTTTGTTTTTGGGAGATGCCAGCAAGGACTTTTGGGGGAGCTGACAGACATTTTATTTCTAAGTTACAGAGTGCAACCTAAACCAGGCCACATGCTGTAAAAAAGCCTCCCCGCTGAATGGAGGCCAGTGGAGAGCAAAAATAGGAGTGCGAGTTGAGTTTTTAGAGTGAACCATCAGAGAGTTGAGCATTTTCACGTACATGTGGCTATCCCATGAGTGTTGCCAAAAAATACAGCATAATGTCACACCAGTAGTGGTTGCCTTCCTTTGGAAAGCTCCCTTCAGGCACTGCCAGTGCATTAAGTAGCTGGATGTGACCTATTTGGTTCTGTATTTTCACAAGCATACATGAAATCATGTTACTGAGTGGGTATGGTTCTGTAAAGGACCCAGGGTACTGATGAGAGCAGCAATGAACTCTTCATGCCCAGTCAAGTTTTGCCCACCTGGAGGATCTTTGGGGTCCCTTCCAACCCAGGCTGTTCTCTGATTCTATGGAATTCCCCTTCTCCTTGTCACTTTGCTACTTGCTTTGCTGCACAAGTGAGTTTGAAATAAGTAAGTTTAAAGTTTGCCTGGACCAAAGTGAAGTATATTCTTTGGTAGAGGGCTTCAATTTTGCATTATTTCTGGTTGCTGCTGTTACCCTTGTCCTTGGATGACACAGAGCACTACCAACATCTTACTTTCTGTCAGCCAGTACTGAGTGTGTCCCTGTGACTTTAACAACCACGACAGACAGCAAGTTTTTAGTTGGTCAGCAGTGGAGGGATGGGACCTGTCAGCACAGGTTAAGAGCATAAATCTGTCTGCTCATAGTGCCAAAGGTGAAGCAAAATATCAGCTGAGTGGAAGCCAACTCTGCCTGTTCTCACTGGCACAGGTTGCCCAGAGAAGCTGTGGCTGCCCCAGCCCTGGAAGTGTCCAAGGCCAGGTTGGATGGGACTTGGAGCAACCTGGGCTAGTGGGAGGTGTCCCTGCCCATGGCAGGGGGTTGGAAGCAGGTGATCTTTAAGGTCCCTTCCCATTCTATTCTATGATTCTACTGCAGATGGAACTAGGAGAGCAAGAAGAAGTCACTTATTGTCATGCTCCAGTTCAGACTCATTGAACTGTGTGTGCTGAGAATTCATCTTTGGAGAGAGTGGAGGATCCCTGCTCTGGGCATGAGCACAAAGCTGAGCTGCCTGTAACTGTGAGGGCCAGAGGAGAA